TCCAAGTTCTTAGATGCCTGATTTCACCCCCACATTGGGAGACAAATGAAGCGCATGCTGCGGTGTGCCAACTACACGAGCTTGATGGCTTGGGGGATAGTTTAGTTTTTGCCTTGTTCCTTTGGGTTATGTAGGCTTTCAACCCTGGGCACCCGAGTGGAGTGGTCTGTATGAAATCACCTGCTTTGAAATGTGATGATGAAACAGGAGAGGGAAATGGAGATTGCATAGTAACGCAACTAAACCAAGAGATAGGTAAGCTTCCAGGCCATCGGTGTGTGAAGATTTCCTGTAAATGAGCTGCTTTCATGTCTTTGGTAAACAGTTAGTTGTATAACAAGGAAAAAAAAGGGCAGCAGAATAGAAGAAGGCAAACAAATTTTCTTCACCTTGCGATGCCTCCTTCTCACAGCCAAAGCAACGTGATTTTTTGATGCTTCAGTAGGTTGTGGTGGGGTTCTTGATGCACTTTGATGCATTTTGTGAATTATTTGTACATTTTATCTCAACATTTCTCCAAGGAGCTTATGGGATGATACTTGGTTCCTTCCCTTTGGATCTGCACAACAACCCTATGAGGTTGGTTGGGCTGACAGAGAGTTGTTCAATAGGCACCCTGGCTAAGAATCTCTGACTTGAAACAAGAGGGGTCTTCCGTGCCCTAATCCAAAACTGCACCTCGTTCACCAGACCTTACTTGAGTTCTCCGGTTCTATCCCAAACAAGTAACACTGAAGATTTCTGTACTACATGTTCCAATTCCAAGAGAAATGCAAAATTATTCTGATAATGACACATCTATAAAATATATAGATCACTGAATTATGAATAGAATTGTCAAAGCATTGCTCATTAATGCATCCTGTGCAATTTATTCCAGAAGCAAACTTACTTTCTTTTGCAGGATATGGAAAGGACTGCAAGAAGGTATTGCACTGCAGAAGTGATAGGTTCTAATCAAATACATGGCCTCTGCTCTCCTCTTCTCTCCTCTTCTCTCCTCTTCTCTCCTCTCCTCTCCTCCCCTGAGAGCTCTGTTGAGGAAATGTTGAAATTGGCTCCCCATTTGGTTTATCTTCTGAAAAAGCTTCTGGACATCTTGGAAAATATGACCATCTTCCTTCTCCCCTCCATGCCCAAGCCAGCCCCAAACCTGCTAGCTTCAACACAGTGGATGCCTTATGTGCCTTCCGACTGCACTCTGAGCTGAGAGATGGTTCTTCTTTTAGTTAAGGATATTCTCTAAAGCCAATACAGTTTGATGTGACAAGCAGAAATTGTGCAATTGTTGTATGCTGCCCAGAGTAGCAAAGTATAGAAATATTTTTATTTTTATATAGAAATAACAACAACAGTAGCTGCAGGTGAGCAACTGGTTTAGTGGAACATTCCATTCCTTCTCTGTACGTGGCCTAGAAACCAAGCAGGAAGGCATCTTTTTCTGCTGAACCCAGCGGAAACATCTAACTGGCTCCGGCAACTCGCAGGGGACTAGTACACCTTGGTGCTGCTTTTGAAGGCCAGTCACTTTTGGGAATGAGCCATGGATTACCCACCCCTGCTGTAGAGATTTGCAACCTATGGTTCCTCCAGAGATGGATCTCCTTAAATTTGATCTCCTTAAAAAATAAACTGATTTTTGTTTTTCTATTGTGTGCGATTAAGAAAAAGGAGAGAAGCTGTCAGAGGGGAGGGAAAACACACGAGGTCTGCAAGTGGGAGACGGCAAGGTTCAGACTCCTGTTTGAGCAGGGCAATTGCCGAGTCTCAGCCCCATCCGGAAGCCACAAGAAAACAAGCCTCAACCGAACAATGCTCAGCCTAATGAAAACCAATAAGGTCTCTATTACTTCCATCTCAGGAAAGATTTACTCTTTAATCATTGGAATGCAGGGCTTTCTTAACGAGACAGCTCATTCTATTCCGAGAATTACAGAGTGTTGTGGCGTATTGGCGATGAACTTAATAAGGCTGTTTATTGGAAAACATATATTACCAGACAAGAGCCAGGCTGTAGAAGCAAGCTGTTTGTTTCTGAGTCAGGAACAACATCATTAATGAAGCGGATTTTCTTTCTCTTTTCTTGCTTGGATGCTGTTTGGATGCCAGGGGATTGTCACCCACCTTAGAAATAAGCAAGACCTTTGTTCGGTACACACAGCCCTTCCTGGCTCCCATCTTTCAGTCACTCGGATGTGCACAGGCGGCTGACCCAGAGGTCTTGCTGGCCACCAGTCACTTCGCAGTTGCCCAGCTTTTGTGCCATTTTCTCCCTGTGCCAAAAGGCTCAAATGCCTCTTTGAAGGCTGAGTTTACATCAGGAAGGTAATTTTAGGGTGGATGCTGACATATGCGACTTTTTCTCCTGCTCCAGCCACCTCTGGAATGCAGTCCCCTAGAGCTAGAAGGTTCTGCAGCCTTGTTCAAGCATGTCTCCCATATGGTACAGTCTCATCTGGCTCATTCCCTTTGGTCCTGGATATTTCTGAGATGTGGCTCTTTCTCTCACTCCACGCTGATCCCTTGAGGGATGCCAGTGCTGTGTAAGGGTTAGCTTTGCCTCCAGTGTTGGCTCTCCATGACTGACTTCCATGCAATGGTGGAGAAATGCCTGGCATGGGGAGTATCTTGAACCCTAACCCATATGGGCATTCTGCACAAATTACCAGGCTGGCCCATTTCAGACACTCACCCTCTGTGCAAGGAAGGCAGCACTGGAGACATGACAATGGGGAGGGGTGCCATATCACTGTCCCCCCTTTGGTCTCTTTTCTTCCAACCTTCCTCTTCCTCCCCTTTCAGACTTTGGACTGCCAGAGCCTCAGGGCAGGGGCTGGAGTGAATCCTTTTTGCTGTTACTCTGCAATGCACCATTCGTACTGATGGCCGGATGAGCAACTGAGCAAGCCAAGGGCACTTCTTATTTTGCTCCTGCTGAGATTCTGCAGCATGGTTCTCACACTGCAGTTTGATGCTCCAGGCACTCTCTGGCCACCTGCATGTGTGGAACAGAAGTGGGGGTGGACCGTCTGCTTTGCCAGCATGATTTGAAAAGCTTCGTGGCCTCCTTGTGGCCATAACAATTAAAGTATCTAAAGGCTCCATCCTATGCATAAGCCAGAAAAAAAGCCCCACCATTCCCAGCATCCTGCAGCTGGTGTACTTCAGCTGGCTGGGGATGCTGGGAGTTGTTGCACCTTTTCCTCTGTTGAACTGTGCATATGATTGTGCCCTTAAATTCTAAACTCACACCTGTGCACATTCCAATTATTTCTACAAGGGATCATGAAAATTGGCATTTCCTTTGGTCAAACCAGGAATCAAACTTGCTTAGTTATACAGATGGGAATGGTCTATAGGCCATTTCCTGAAGCTGACATGAAAAGACACACAATTTGTTCTCAAACTGGGGCCTTCTGTGGTCCAATTGTCTTTTAGATTTGTTATCGGACAAGGCCTTTCCTTATATTCCGTTAGGTTATATAGGTACTGTCTTTTTTAGGGCCTAGTTTTGTTGGCAGGAAATGCTGGGAGATTTTTCTGTCTAAACATGTGTATTATATGATTATTAAAATACACTGATATCCTGCTTCTTTTCCTCTTGTGAGGAAGCCGAGGTTACTTATGCATCCCTCTGCTCCATCTTGTCCTCACAACAACCCTTTGAGGTAGGTTAGGCTGAGTATGAGTGACTGGCCCAAAGTTGCCCAGTGAAGTTCATGGCCAACAGGGGACTGGCTCCCCAGTCCAACACTCCACCCACCTCGCCACATTGGCTCTCAGCATGTTTAGGATTGAGTCCTTAGGGTTTTTTTTTAAATAGTTATTGTCACTAGGAAGGTACGTAGTACAATCTGTCCTGGTCTACCTAGAAATAAGCGCCACTAATTTCAATAGAACTTACTCCCAGGTAACTGCACAATCTTGCCGCTTGCATTGCTCTGAAATAGTGTGTATGGTTATAATCTTTTATCCACTTACCTGGCAGTAAATCTTATTGCAGACTATAGGGCTGAGTAGACGCTCTCCGAATTGCCATGACAGCTGCAAAAACATGAGCATTGCAACCTGTTTTTATCACACGACTTATGTTGATCTATGTTGTGCCAGGATGCGTGTGTTATCAGGAGCAACATTTTGAGCATATGCACTTGTGATAGTGTGACTGCCGTTGCCACTACTTGCTGCGTTGGATTCCTTTTGACTTCCCCCACCCACCCTCTATGTATAAAACCTGAAACTCTCTATAATGCGTCAGGGATCTGAAGAAACACACTATGGCCCTCAGACGTTTAAGCTGGAATACATGTGTTCGTCTAAATCTCCGTAACACTTTGCACTTTATACCACGAAGCAAGTCACGCCCATTTAGTGCTGTAGATCTGTGTTGAATAATTGGCAGTTTACCCCTAGCACTGATTTGGGAGAGCAACCCCAAGTAGAGAGGCCAGTATAATCCTAGGCGTGTCTACTCAGGAGCAAGTCCCATTTAGTTCAGTGGGTATTATCCCAGCCTGCTGTGTTCAGACTGCAGTCTAGCAGTCCAAATCCTACACACATCTGCTCTGGGCCACTCACATATGCTCAGCCCAACCTACCTCACAGGGTTGTTGCTGTGAGGAGAAGACTGAGAGCAGGAGAGTGATATAAGCTGCTTTGAGTTCTTTGTAAAAATGGAGGGATAATATTAATAATAATATTAATATCTGTCCGGAGAACTATTTCCCTTGGAGCTCAACGGGGGTTTTACTCTTCGGTAAGCGACTACAGTATCGGATACTATTGTAGCTACACAGGCGGTGCTTGTGTTTGCTCCTCCACCCTTGCATCTGCAAATAATTTTCCTCTGTCCCTGTATCCCTTCATTCAAATAGCGAGGAGACGTCCCTATATAAAGACACACAGAGACTTTGGCAAACTGGCATATGCAAAAACCTGCGTTTATTTTGCCCTGTGCACTTGGATCCCGAGCCTTCCCGCCCCCTGCGCTTCCGCCTTCCATGCGGATCGAATCCTGCGACAGCGCCCCCGTGTCTCAACGTTCCACGATTCTCCTTTCCGCTTGCCGATTGGCTCCGCCGCGTTCGGAATCTCCTCTTCGGACCAATCGCCGCTCTCCTGCGAGCTACGTACAGGAAGAGAGGCACGCCGCCCGGGAAGGTTTGAATTTACAACGGAGGGTCGGCGGCGGGTGAGCCGCGCGGGCGGCGATGGACGAGCCGGACGAAGGCGGATCCGCGGGAGCGGCCAGGACAGAGCCGGAGCCCGAGCCCGAGCCCGAGCCCGAGCCCGAGCCCGAGCCCGAGCCCGGATCGCCGTTGCGGGAGGAGGTGGCCCCGGCGGAGCCCGTAATCGTGCCAGCAAGTGGCGCGGAAGGGGCGAGGGAGAGCCGGCTAGAGGGGGCGGTGGAGGCCGCGAGAGGAGAAAAGGGGAACGAAGAGGGCGATGCACGGGAGGGGGAGCCCTGGCAGCCCGCGCCGGACGACGGCGGCACGGAGCCGCAGGCAGCGGAAGACGAGCTTAAACTTGGCAAGTAGCTACTCCCCCCCCCCCCCCCCCCCTGAGAACGATCGCGCAATTTGCAAGCCTTTGGCTAGCTCGCCGTGTTCATTGTTTGGTTGCGGTTCTCAGCCGAGCTTCTTCACGAGGAGCCCTAGAGGAAGGAAGGCTTAGAAGTGCAGCTAAGCAGCTGAGACAGCAAATGAATGATCTTTCTACCCTCTGCTTTTGCAACCTTCCTTTGCATGGTTGTTTTTTTTGGGGGGCAGAGGCTGAACCCCAAACCCTTCTAGCTACCTGCCCCGTAGGGGTGGGCTGACTAGTCCTTTTATTCTGCACCAGCGGCCCTGCGACCATTACTAAGCTGTCTGGCAGGCAAGGGGCGGATCGGTCTGTCTAGGGCTGGCCCTTCCTTTGACGGGGTGAGGCAGCCTCCATAGACAGCTGACGATGACTGCCTTTATTACTTTAAAACATTTGCATGCTGCCTATTGTGCTGCAGCACCTCTGGGCGGCTCACAATCCTAAGAGAAAAACCACAGCAAAAACTAATTGCAACAGTTAAAAGATGCAGTACTAATTAGGCAGTATTATGATGGCCGAGGAGGAGAAAGGGGGCTTGCGGGATGTTCTGACTGGTGCCAAAAATAACGGGAGTAGCTCAGGCTGCTTTGCACCAGGACATGGGCAACTGTGCCTTGGGCGGCAGATTATATTGGGCTGTCGGTGACTTTGTCCCAGCAGCCTTCGGTGTTTCTCTGCTCGCTGTGTAGGAAGAGACTTTCCTTCTTCCATGGCTAGCCCAGAAAACAGACAGACTGGCCGAGGAGCAATGGAGTGACCTCTCTCCCCTCTGCCAGCTCACTCAGCAGCTGGGTGAGTGGTTAAACACCTTCTGGCCTCTTTCCACTCTTCCGGGAAAGCCTGGGGCCATCTCGGACCAGAGACTTGAAATTCTGCCTGCCTCCGTACAAGTCTGCCTGACTCTCCAGATCGTTGTAGGTCCTGCGTTAATGTGCAGCTCCTAGAGGCAGGGCCTTCTTAGAAGTGGACCCTCCACTTTGATCATCTTCATGGCATGTCTATAGCATTGTATAGCCAAAGCTTGCCAGGCTGCTTACAAAGATTAAAACCACAATATTACATGATAGAAGCCTTATATATGCAAATAGATGATACATGCATATTCCTAAAAGCAATAGAAAGCCATCAACAACAAGAAAAAAGACCTGATTAAAATCTCATGTGCCATAAAGGGGTGGGAAGGCATAATTTAGTATCCAAAAGACAGCAGTGTTGGCACCAAGGTTGCAGAGATGGTTAGGTCGTCATCACCAAGGTACTTTTTCCCCAGTGCAGTCCTCTAAATCTACTTTTCAACGGATACCTGGAGGAGGGGCATATCTAATGTTATTCCAGGTGGCATGCTGTGTCCTTCTGCCAAACAGTAGAGAATGTATGGAGGAAACTCTGCAAAAGTGACCTTTTCCTGGGAGTGTGTGGAGGGCAGGAGGAAAACCTTCTCTCCCCCAGTCTTCTGAGAACTCCTGGCTCAACACTAATTGAAACTGGTGCATGTTTGGGTATTCAACTGCAAACACATAGGGAGAGTTAGCTTTTTGGTAGGAGACAGACTAGAGGGTTCCATCAGATGTGCTGTCCATCAAAGAATAAATCCACTTTGGAAACTAACTGGATGGATGACTTTTGTCTTTGGCCTAAGATGGGGGCGATGAAAGCGACAGCAGTGACTGTTGCAGCCGCAGTGACTACGGGAGTCGTGGCAAGCCGGGAAGCGCCTTGCAGCGGCTCGTGCCGGAAGGGAGCGTGCTCTTCCCGGACACCTTCCAGACAAACAGCCTCCTCTTCTACGAGCGCTTCAAGGCCTACCAGGACTATATGTTGGGTGAGTGACCCCCTCGTCTTCTCAGGCCCTGCTTTGGATCTTGCCACCATTCCAGGTTCACTTCTCATTCAACCCTACCTTCTCTCATCCCAGTTCCCTTCAGACGTGCAGTTCCCATCATCCCCAGCCAGTGTGATGGCTGGGGATGATGGGAGCTGTAGTCAGCACCAGAGGGTGCCAGGCTGGGGGAAGGTTGATTTCTGCATTTGCTTGTGGAATTTATATCCTGTCTTATTTTAGACTGCAAAACTTCACAAGACAGACATGCAGAAAGTACCCACGATATCAAGGATGCAACAACCCATTTTTGCAGGCCTTCCTTTGGAAGCTGTCGGCATTCCCTGACTTATAGGCCTCTGCTCATCCGTGCGGTGCATCCCGTTCTGCTTGCAGGGCCGAACTCCTTCCTTCCTGCTCCAGTAACAGTTGAGCAGCCAAGTCAAAACTGTTCTTTCTGTGTCATAGAAAATGCGAAGCTGGAGAGTGCTTTTCTGGTTGCTTTTGGCTTGGTTTGCTCTTAGAGGCACTCCTGTTACAAAGCTTTTTGCTCAGCAGGTCAGGGGCTGGCTTGCAGGGTCTGCTTTATCTGTACTCACTACGACGAAGGTCCAGATCTGTCTGCACTTTGTATTAAAGCGTCCAGGCTGCTGTTCTGAGTGCCAGAACAGAAGGGCTCTCTCCGCCCTCCTGCCCAAACATTAACTCCTGGTTTCTTCATTTCAGTAGTACAGTCTGGGACCAGAGGGGCCCATGCATTATTTTGTGGTTGCTATTGGAGCAGGAGCAGTGAACTGTGGACCCATGAGTCACAATTCCTAATTTTTGCCTGTTTACAAGAGCTGGGTCATCATGGGAAGGACGTTTTACTTATTCGATTTATATCCTGCCTTTTTCCTACCAAGGGCTCAAGGCAGCTTACATCATCCCTCCTCCTCCATCTTATCCCCACAGCAACAACCCTGTGAGGTAGGCTGGGCTGAGAGTCTGTGACTGGCCCAAAGTCACCCAGCTGGCTCCATGGCTGAGCGGAGACTAGAACCCAGGTCGCCTGAGTCCCAGTCCCGCGCTCTTAACCACTACAACCACTACCATTTTGGAGAGTATTCATTCGTAGGGTTTTGCATAGTTGAAGGACACGTGACTGTTGCTGTTATGTGCCATCAAACGTCTCTCTTCCTGAACCCAAAACGAAAACCATAGAACGGTTTTCCTTATTTACGGATGGCAAGGGTGCTAAACTAAAGTAGGCCAGAACTTTGTAGCTTTGCCTCTGGAATCAAAGGAATGCAGCCCCTTGAGAGCTTCTCCAGAACTGGAGGCAGCCCTCGGCCTGCATGGCATGATTGGGAATCGGAAATGCAAATCACCCATCAGTAGATCTAGGAGTCCTCTCTTCCACACATAGATGGTGCGTGCTAAACGTCGATCCTCATCTCCCCTGGCCCCCAAACTTTGTTTCCAGCTGACTGCAAAGCTTCAGAGGTGAAAGAATTCACAGCGGAGTACTTGGAGAAGGTCCTCGAACCGTCTGGCTGGCAGGCCATCTGGCGTACCAACGTGTTTGACGTGCTGGTTGAGGTAAAAGGCTGGTTTGCTCCTTAGATCAGGGTGGGCTACCCTGTTGCAGCCCCACAGACCTTCTGGCCTACAGCTCCCCAGGGCACGTGGCCAGGGGTGAGGCCGATGGCACAGGCTAAAATACCTGGGAAGCCACAAGGGTGCTTGTCCTTCTATTTTAGACATTGACCTCCTTACATTAGCTGATTCCTTTAAAATAATGCAGGGATGTGGCCCTGCCAGAGTTTAACTGCAACTCCTGTCATCCCTCGCCCTTGACGAGGCTGGTTCAGGATGATAGGAGTTGCAGTCCAGCAATGCCTGCAGGCCCCTGTGTTCCCCATCCCTATAGTAATAGGTTTAGGAGAGCCACCTAGGTCAACGGTTCCCAAACTGTGTTCCAAGGGTTCCACAGAGGCTCTGTGAAAAACCTCAAAGATCGAATTTCAAATGAATTTTAAAATGGAACCACACGAGGCCAATGAATCGATTGTCAGTTGGTGCCCAAGCAGCAAAAAAGGAAACACATCACGTCATTTGGTTCCTAGGACTCTGTTGCGTAGTGCTGGGAATAATCAAAAGACTTCGTTTGAGATATTACCCTATAATTGCTTTATTCATTTGTTCTGCTGAAAATGTTTTCTCGCTATTTCCAGGCCTACTACCTTATGCAAAAGCACTCAGGCAATAGGAACAGATGAAAGAAGGAAGATCGTTGTGGGTTCACAATGCTTAGTAAAACTCAGGGGTAGAGTTAGGGTCCCGCAGGGGGAAAACTGTCTTCAGAAAGGTTCCATGACTGGAAAGGTTGGGAACCGCTGACCGAGAGGGCCAGTGGTAAATCTACATGGATGCCGAAAAGCTGCAGGCATTGTGGGAGGGTGTGATTTTTGGCTGAGAAGTGCCCTCCCCTGCAGCTTTCCCCATGCCTCTTCTTTTCCCCCCACAATGCAGCAAACAGTTCTTACTGCTGCCCTGTGGAAATCCAGAAAATAGCCCAGTTTTTCTCTCAAACAGCTTCACAGGCTGATCGGGGGCGAAAATGCAGCGATGCTGTCAGCACATAAGCTGGGCAGGAGCTTGTTTCAGACACCCTTGGCTGGCAGCGACTTGCTGGCTCACCAGCCTTGTTCTTAAATGAAAAGGACATCGCTTGGTCCCACGCACCTCTGGCTGGGTGACCTGCAGTCCTAGGAGCTCTGATCCAGTGCTGCCTTCAAAGCACTTGCTGCAGACAGACTCTTGCTGCAGTTTGGGTCCTTTCGGCATGCTTGTTTTGGGGTCTCGGAGCTCTCGCTGCAGCCCCCAGGGGGTGCCATCCATGCGTCCGATTCTGCCCTGACTTGGGGTTATTTTAGAAGGAAAAGCAGACTGTGTGTTCTGCAGTTGAAGTAAATAAAAACCATGCACCGCTTCTGTGACGTGTGCCAGGTTGTCGACGTGGAGTGCGCTGCCCTGAAGGCCGTCGTGCGGCTCTCGGAGCCCTTCCTGTGCGAGAGCCAGGAGGGCGTCTTCACGCTGGAGCGCATGCGGGAGCTGCTGGAACTGAAGGAGCACCGGCTGCCGCTGCAGGAGCTGTGGGTTGTTTTCGATGAATCGGGGGAGTTTGACCAGACGGCACTCGCGGTTGAACATGTCAGGTATATGTGGGGCGGGGAGAAGGCAGATCGGGGGCTCCTGGGAGAGCTGTGGGGGTTTTGCGGAAGATCTGCGGGGTCTTCTGGCTCCCAAGATCAGCAGGGCGTTCCGGATCCCAACAAAAGCAGCGAAACAAGGAGCCTAGGTTGTTGAAAAGAAGAAATGTGGGATTTGAGGTGGTGAAAGCAAGGAATGGATATTGTGTGTGTGAGTGGGAGGGCGGGAGGGAGGGAGGACGGACTGTCAGCTTAATCCTGGAATTAATTCATAAATCCCTGGACTGCGTATGTGCTCTGATCTAACTGCTTAATTCTGTCTGCGCATCGAGTCCCGCAAGCTGCTCTTTCCCACCTGCATCCACTTGGATTTCCACTGATCTTGGGAAGGGCCGAACCTCCCATGAAGCAGGGAGAATCCCTCCGTTTACATGGCAGGATGAGAGGGGCAGCAACTCTGTACTCCCCCTTTCCCGACAGAGGACTTGCTCTTGCCATCGTTCTCCTCCCACCCCACTAGTTAGCTTTCCATCCGTTGGAGCTGCAGATTAGCAATGTGAAGGCCTGGGGGGAAGAAAATCTGAAAAACCCAGCAAATTATTTTGGGGAAAAAACTTGTTTCCTCCAATTTTCCCCCCCTTAGGTTTTCCCATCTCTACTGTGGATCCCCTTGGAGAGAGCAATAAGTGCCTGATCTCTCTGGAGAGCTGTATTTTCTGGAAACATAGCCTGTGCACCTCCATCAGCTGGCGAGACTCAAATGTTTCATAGCTGTTTCTCTCCCCTTCCTTCCAGGCAGACCTGGACAACACAAAGCCTTCCATGTTAAAATGGAACAGCTAGACTAGCTTTGTAGTACAAAAGAAACAAGCCAAGTTAGAATGCGGGCCAGTAGGGAAAAGATATGTAGCTTATTTTTTAAAGCTTTTATATGCCACCCAATACTAAACGTCTCTGGACAGCTTAGGGTTAGCTTAATGATACCAAACTGATTTCGGGCTGAATGCCGGCCTCCTTTGCAAACTGAAAAAAGCAAAACCACTCCTTTGAGTTCGGTCCTCCAGTTTCAGGGCTGATTGCTTGAAGCAAGAATTAGACGGTCTTTTCCTGACCCTCCAGCCTTCAGATTAGACTTGTTTGTTTCTTAAATTTCCGTACAGCCAGTATCTGAAGCTCTCTGGGTGGTTCCCGGCAATTAATGCATACGTACATGCAACATAAAGTGCACTGTAAAATTTTAGAAGTATAGCATGAAATAGAAATAAAATGAAAGTAAAATGCAACAGCTAGCAGCTTGCTGAAAGGCTACCTAATTTGTTTTTGTCTTCCGTCCCGATTCCTCGTTCTTTGTGTGCCATTTCTCGTTGATTGCACGGCTGTGGGAAGGGACTGTGTTAATTTTGCTGATTGCATGGCACCCACCGCAGGAGTTTTTATGCCTGAGGAGCAGGATAAAAATACTTTAAATGGAAACAAATGTTTTCTGAAGCTGAAACGGCAAAAAACAAGAGACCAAATTAATTTGGAGAAGCAAATTAAAGGGGGACTAGAAGGGTTATCGTGGGATAAGAAGATACGAAAGCCGGTGCAGCCAAAGACTGAGTTAGACATTGAAATGGGAGAAAATGTTTTGTGGTTCCTGCATTCTGGACTGCTTTGTGAATCTTCTCCTCTGTTTCCGGGTCCGAATCAGCCACCTTGATTTAATCTTTTCTTTGGCAGGTTTTTCTACAAGCACATTTGGCGGAATTGGGATGAAGAGGACGATGACGACTTCGATTACTTTGTCAGATGCGTCGAACCTCGGCTCCGATTGTAAGTGCCCCGGCAGATACTTTTGAGCCCTGGAGCCGGCCGTTCCGGGGGATCTGGACCGCACTGTGCTGCCTTTGTGGCATAGCTTTGCTGCAACTCAGGTGTGCTGGTTTGGGGTATTCAGGTGCTCAGGCCACAAAGGGATGGGTAGTCCAGTTCCTGTGTGCAGGTAGTCTCCTCTCTGGCCCGGGTGTCAAATTGGGTCTGTGAGGCTAGTCTGCCAGTCCGTGGAGCCCCCAAAGAGGCCTTGTCCGATGAAGAACAGACAGGATTCCCCTGCATGTCACCTGACCCTCTGCAGAGGTGGGTTCTGTCGTGTCTTTGCCTGCTGGTCCTAGGAGGGCAACCGGTGCGAAGAAGCAAAGGCAGCTGGGCCGCATTCCTTGGCTTGCCCCACTCCCTTCTAAGCCAACGAGAAGAGCTGAGCTGGTTTGGGCCAGGGACGCACCAGTCCAGCATTCCCTTCTCCTGGTGGCTGACCAATGCAGTCCAGGTAGGAGTGCAGGTGCACCTGGCCGCTGATGTTCTCGACTTACAGAGGAAGGCACTGACGCTGGAGGCCTGTTGCAGTGTTAAAGGGCTGGACCTGCAGGTACACATTCCCACTCAGCCATGTTGCCTAGTGGGTGGCAGTCAGTCTCTCAGCCTGATCTAGCTCCAGCGGAGCGAAGCTCAGGGAGCCAAGGTTCCATTTGGATGCCAGGAAGCACTTCCTGACAGTCAGGACCCCGAGGGTGTGGAATGGGCTTCCACAGGAGCTCGTTGAGGCCCCATCGGTGCGGGTGTTCAAGGATAGGCTGGACGTCCACATGGTGGGCATGTTGTGAGTGGAGCCGGCTGGGGCCAGGGGCCAGACCAGATGGCCCGGGGGGCCCCTTCTGACTCCCTCTGTTTCTATGTTTCTAGCTCATGGGGTTGCCATGAGGATAAAAATAAGGGGTGAAGGAAGGTTCTGTAAGCATTCTTGCAGTCCTTGCAGGGGAAAAAGACAGGGTATAAATGTAATATGAGCCCAGTGTTACAATGATAGCTCCATTCTCTGTTTCTAGTTTTACAGACTGGGGGCGGGGGGGGGGTTCTTTTTTTCCTCTTTTGCAGCAGAAACATTCTTAGGGAAGATTGCAGAAGCATTGATTAATGCTGTCCCATGCCTGGCACTGACTTACCTCTAGATGGCAGTGCAAAACTGACTTGTAGGATTTTATAGGTGGGATGGAAACATTTTTAATTCAAGGCATTCTAGTTTAGACCAGAGACATCAAGATGCTTTGAGCCTTCCTCTGGTCCAGGAATACACGTCTCCGCTGAATAAAGCAGGATTTGTCCTTTTCCACCCTTTTTGCTGAGTTCCTTTTAAAGTGAACTATCTAAATCAGGGCTGTTGGAAGTCCTTTGGCCCATGGGGTGGATTCCTTTTTGGAGGAGCCTTTCAAAGGCCACCCTTTGGCCAAAATCAAATGCAGACAGGGCCAAATATCAACGTATTCTAGCCTGAAGTGCTTGCTACTTGTAACTAAGCATTACAGAGGCATTTAAAACCTGGAAACAGGAGGAAAGTATGTAATAGCCAGGAATCAACCCACCCAGTTGTAGTCGGGGTCCGCAGATGTGGATCCCAGGAGACAAGATTTGGCTTCCTGGCTTGAGGTTCTGCTCTTCTGATCTAAATCCCAGACCCCAGTGGCCAACTTTTGGTTGCTTGGAAGCACACAAGCATGGACAGAAGACAGAAAGCCCCCATGGCTGCTGACTGTTGATCGCCAAGGTGGGGACCTTTTAGCTCAGTGGGGGTCCATGCACTAGAGGCCGGAGGGGCCTGAGTCCAAAGTGGGGTGTAGGGAATCCCCTTTCCTTCCCCTCCCCATCCCGGTCCATCAGGTTTCCAGGGAAGGGACAGGCCCCTCTCAATGAAGAACTGAATTTCTTGCTTCTAGAGGGACTTTTGAGATTTCTATGGCTGCAGGTTTCTGGCCACTCATTTGTCATCTTAGGTTGCTGCAAGCAGCTGGAATTTGGAAATTGTGAGATCTGAGCATGAGCAGCACAGGAATTTGCTGCTGATTCACTGGTTCTCTGTGATTCATGTATTAATATTGATATGCTGCCTTTTTTCCTCCAAGGAACCCATGGCAGCTTATCTAATCCACTTCCTCTCCATCTTATCCTCACAAGAACCCTGAGAGGTAGGTTAGCATGTCGTGAGCGGAGCCGGCTCGTGCCGGAGGTCAGACTAGATGACCCGGGAGATCCCTTCTGACTCACTCTGTTACTATGTTAGGTTGAAGGGCAGTGACTGGCCCAAACTCACCCCTTTTAATTTATTAGGACTAGCCTGTTGCACTAGTAAACGCTCACATGGGCTCGTAGACCAAATAAAAATAATTAAACAGCTTGCAATAATAAAACCTGTAATCTCACTAGCTTAATTCCTTAATATGGTGTTTGCTGCAATATCTTATGGCATAAATGAATAATGCGTGGTGAGAAGGGCTTTTTTTGTCTTGGATTTTTTGCCAGTTTTTTTCACTGGGCCTCAGCTGCAAGTGGGTGGTGAAGAGTTATTTCTGGCTCAGAGATTTTCAGCTGGGATCAATGACTGCAAGTTTTTAAAAGCTCGAGCTTCCTCGTACAGCCTTCAGACCCATTTTTCTTGCCAAATCTGTTCAGATCTCCTCCTAACAGCCCCCTAATCCTGACTTCCAGGTACTACGACATTCTGGAAGACCGCGTCCCTTCTGCTCTTGTTGTGGACTACCACAACCGCCTTTCCCAATGTGAGGAACTCTACCGCATGTTTCTAGACCTCAGGAACAGCATTTCTGGCAGCGATTCTGAGTCTGAAGCAGAAAACATCTCCATGGTAGAAGGGATGAAACTGTATGAAAGGATAGAGCACCTGAAGCAAAAGTTGAAGATTATTGAAAATCCTCTGTTGAGGTAAAGTGATTGTTTTGTTTAATATTTAAAAATAGAGTGAGCTCAGTGCAACAGACTAATATAGTTGTGAAGGCCTGGGGAAAGTCCCCAAAAGAAAACCAGGGTGCAAAACCCAGAGAAAATTGGGGGAAGTCCATACCCCAGTACACCCCATCCTCCATATATGAAGGACCCGTTTCCGATCAGAGCTCCCCACAGCTGCTAACTTTAAAGTAGGGGGAGTATGTTAAATGCAATCCTGATTTTTTTTGGTGGCCTTCTCCCAGGTGTGTTTGACTGCAATGCCCATGATTTCTAGCAAGAATGAGGTGGAGGGCGTCAGGTTGGGGTATCGCCTCTTTTGACCCCCACCCCCTCCTAGTGCAAAATCGTCTATGAATTTTAGATGCCCCTCTCAGCAGCGTTGCTCTTTCTCAAGGTACGTGTTTGGTTATCAGAAGCACACCGGCCTGCAAGCGAAGGGCGTCCGTCTGTCCGGCACCACCATCACTCACGTCGTCTCTTCTACCGTGATGTCCAGCCTCTTGCAGTGTCTGATCCGGGACAAGCTTTCGCCAGAGTCTTTCACTGAAGAAATAGAAATCCAGGTATGGTCCTTGCATCTCTTTTGGTGACACATGAAATTGTTTTGGCCCAAGAAAGCACTTTCTTCCCTGGCATCCCTCAGCTCACATTCTGTACTGTGATTTACACATGAGTAGTCCTCCTGACTTGTTCTTCTCGGACCTTGTTACAAAGTGCCTAGTCTAAAATGACTCCAAATTTCAACCTCCTGCCTTTTATGTTTTTTTTTTCCATAAAACAAACCTGCCTGGGACTGCAAAGTACCCCAGAATCGCTATAGGAATAGCTGTGTGGGGTATTTTCATATCTTAAATAAAAAGCCCCCACAAAAGGAACAAGAGAATGTTCAGTACGGATCGTTGAGCCAGTGTCGTGTAGTGGTTAAGAGCAAGAGACTGGGACTCGGGGGATCCGGGTTCGAGTCCCCGCTCGGCCATGGAGCCAGCTGGGTGACTTTGGGCCAGTCGCAGACTCTCAGCCCAACCTACCTCACAGGGTGGTTGTCGTGGGGATCAGATGGAGGACAGCAGGAGGAGGAGGATGTAAGCTGCTTTGAGTTCTTAAAAAAGAAGAAGAAGGCAGGATATAAATCAAATAAATCTTGGTCTCTTTTGAAGGCTGAGCCTGGCTAAAACCTCAGCAAAGCAGAATTAAAATCTATGGAGGGAAAGCTTGCTATGATTAAAAAAATAATAAGAGGCCAAACTGCAGTTATGCAAAGAAAACATCAAGAAATGGGTCTCGGATGCTGGACCTAAAACTTCGGCAGGCTCATACGGGGCTGGAAGGCGGCTTCATATTGAATGTTCCATGTGTTCTGAAACCCCAGAATCCTGAAATGGAAACAGGCGGGGGAAGCCACCCAGGTTGTTCCCCTTGCTTTTATGGCCGCCGTGGTTCTCTCCCCAGTTCCACCATGACCTGCAGTCCGCTGTGAACGCTTGCTATGAAGGCGATAGGATCATCGTGTGCCCCGGTCACTACTTTGTGGAGGGCATGTTGTACATTGCAGACTCCATTGAACTAGAAGGTAAGTGCCTCTGCTCAGCAAAAGGCCCGACGTATTTTCCTCCTCGCTAAAGAAAACACGTGCCTGTGTTTCTCTTGTTCTGCTCTTTCGCAAGCGGCGGCTGGTTTTCCTTTGAAGCTTATTTCCTTTGTCAGTGGCAGAGGAAGGCGTGGGGCAGGAGGAAGATGGATAAAATTAGACACAGTGCAAAGGAAATGCACCAGCAGAAGGGTTTTCTCTTTCTCATCATTTATTTTGTGTTATGAGGTGAATTATGAAATAGGATCATGTTCCGTTTCCCAATTTATGCTATATCTTGGTGTTCTGAAGCTGAATTGTGCAAAATTCAGGACAGGCAGAAGTTGATACTTCTTCGGATGGCACATACGATATGGAATTTGGTCCCGCGAGATACAACGATGGCTGCTGTCTTAGCTGGGGATTAGACAAATTCACGGAGAACAAGGGTATTGATGGCTCCGAGCTGTGATGCTTACATGTTTTCCCAAGTCTTGGAGACCCTCTAGTCCAGAGGGAAAGGCTGAGGACCACAAGCATCTGGGCGCTGCTGTGTCCCTGTCTTTATTCTTGGCTTTCATAGACATCTTGCTGGTCACGGTGGGAAGAAAAGGCTAGGACAGGTCCTTAGTCTGATGCAGTAGGGTGTTGATGTTCTCATCCATGGGAACCACTCCAAAAAGATGCTCCTGAGAAACTCTCCTCAGCTCTTCTTGATTGCTTCCATGAAACACTCCTGCTTTCATCTCCACAATTTTATGCCCGTGAAGTTTGCCGAAGGACAGAAAGCTGCTTTATCCTGGACCATGTAGTCCAGCCCTGTCGACGTGGGGGTTTGCCTGCCTTACGTGGAGATACTGGGGACGGAACTGGGGACCTTTGCCATGCAAAGCGTGTGCTCTGCCACCCTGAGCTGTGGTCCCTCCAAATGGGTGGGCTTTTGTATAGCCTGAAATGCCTGATCCTGCCTAACCTTGGAAGCTAAGCAGGGTCGGGCCTGGCTGAAATCTGGATGGGTGACTTCATGTTGTAAACTGCCCAGAGAGCTTCAGCTATGGGTGGTATAGAAATATAATGAATACTAATAACTATTGTAATTGTTATTTCAGGCCTGCCGTTCAGATGCTAATAGAATAGGCTGTAATTTGGTGTCAGGCTGCCACCAAGTTCTGGTGGCAGGTTGTGCTGAGATCTCAATCTTTATCTTGTCAAAACTTCTTAATGGAAAGCGAGCTGAGGGTTTAATTTCTTGCGGCTCTCAGCTCTTGCCCCCTTCCCTTGCCTGTCTTTTTTATTTACTTTTATTATGATGATTTTCTTTTTCTTTCCCGTCTCTTGTGCACTTGATTTATATACATATCTGTGACAGTCTGCAAGGCCCCTGCAGGATATAGGGTTTCGATAAATTTATTTTATCTGTGGGAATGAGGATAAGATGGTTGGGCACGCGGGGTGGTATTTATGACAAATCGCATCCCCATCAGAGAGGTCAGGCGAACGTTAGCAAGGAAATTAAAGCCTGTGAGAGCAGACATAGCCACCAGCTTTTAGGGAACAAAGGCCTATGCTGAGTTTATTCACAGAGTCGACTCAGTGATTGAAGAAGCACTATTGCTTTTCATCGGAAGGATTTTTTTTCCTGTCCCCTTTCTGAAAGCCACGGAAGCTGGTGAAAATACAAGTCTTCGGTGACACTTTAACGATATGGGGGTATTAACGAGGTTGGATGAGTGTTAATGATGTGGGAGGAGGGGTGTGGGAGAAGGAGACCTAATTGATCCATTGTATATTGGCACAAAGCACCTAAGGTCAAGCTGAAGAGATCATTCTTTGGCCAATTATCGATAATTGCAAAAAAGAAGAATTTGAGGAAAAATGGTCTAGTAACGCTCTCTGGTAAAAGTTGGCGCTGGCCCTGTTATGCGGGGAGTACTCCTGTACTGGGGGATTAGAGCTCCTTTTCCTGCACAGGAGCTCACTAATCTACCATTTAAAATAATTGATAAAATGTAGATAAGACTTCACAGTATGAGCTGCAAAGATAGATTAATTAGTGTGGTGGCTCTAGCTTGGATTCACGGTGAAATTGCAAAACTTGAAAAGACGATGTGCCACTGCAGAAGGCTAGCTAGTCAAAGCAAATGATCATCTGAGCAACTGGATATTTGTAATATTGGGGTCATGATCTAATTCATCTGTCCTGCAGCGCGTTTTGCATGCGGTTGTGAATTAGGAAACTGGTTTGCTTTTGGCTTCCCGTTTACTGGTGTTGGTATCTTTTTGTTCTAAGTTTTAGCTGTGTTTACAGATTATTGTAAGAGGAAAGCATTGCTGTATTGGAATGGGGTGCCGTTAGTCAGATCTCCTTTTGTAAAGGAGGGGAGGTCAGGTATGACTAAGCCTAAGCTGGCCTGAGGACTTCTTTTTAACTAGGCCAACTGCTGTGTGTTCCAGTTGGCCACCTCAAGAAGAAGTGCTAGTTTACTGTAAAAAATATTAAGAGTATCCATATCTGGATGCACAAGCTCGGTTCAAATGAAAGAGCAGGAGATGGAGTCCCAGCAGGACTGGTCTTTTTTTATGTTTTGGGTGGTGGGTCAGGCAGGGCACTCCATGCTGCCCCCCAGTGGGCCCCTGCCACTGCCACCCTCTGCTGTAGCTCCTCATCCATTCTGTTGGTGACATGCAGGTGTGTCAGGGGGTGCCACGCAGAGGTGGGTCATGGCCTTTTACCCCCTGCAGAGGAGGGCAGGACATGTTCCAGTGGAGCAAAGCTCAGGGAACCAAGTTCCAGTTTGGATGCCAGGAAGTACTTCCTGATGGTTAGGACCCGGAGGGTGTGGAACGGGCTTCGATGGGAGGTGTTGTAAATCCCAAAGGTGAGGGTACTTAAGGACAGGCTGGACATGTACATGGTAGGCATACCATGAGTGGAGCCGGCGGCCAGACTAGATGGCCCAGGAAGCCCCTTCTGACTCGCTCTGTTTCTATGTTTCTATGTGCACTTGACAGGCAGGGTCATCAGCTCAGTCTTCCCTTTGTCCTTAAGCTACAAGCAATAGGCAGACTCTTTGTAAAACAGATATCTATTGGCGCTTTGCAGCCACAAAGTAACTCTCTAGTAAGCTGGAAGATAAGCCTCTGCATATATTAAGAATGATTGCTGAACCCAAACTGCGAACTTCTCCCCAAAACCTTTCCCTTTCAAGTAACTCTGTACATGGCACCCCGAGGGCGGCTCCACCTGGTGAAGGGCCAGCTAGCAAGATCCAGCCAAGCCCTGGGCAACTCGCCTCTCCTGATGCCTCATCATGGGGTCATGGACCAAGCAAGGCAACACCCTCTTCTTCCTTCCTTCCTGGGGCCCCTCCCATCTATTCCAAAACATTTTCACTCTCCTGTTTGAGCTGGGAACCGGTGGGTAGTGGCCAGTGACCCTTTAGAATGGGGAGAACCACACAAAAAGTGGATACAATTGAAGGATTGGCCTTCGGCTGAAAGAGGCATGGCTTTGGGAGATGCTGGCTGAGGTCAGTAGGGTCCATCCAGACTGGGCGAAGTTTGAACTTTCAGGAAAAGTAGCCCAGGTGCTGAAATGTACCACCCAACACAGTTTTTCAGCACCTTGGACAGTTCAAGCCATCCCAACGGCAGCAGGATGGGACATGCACTTCCCACCACAGCCCCAACCCCCTTGAGGAGCTATCCATGGTGCTGAAGTTGCAGCCCTTTGAACTCCAGCACCATGGACAGCTCCTGCTGCCACTATCAGTGGGATAGTGTATGAACCCTGGGCTCCTGACTGAATTTTAAAGGCGCTCTCCAGGGTATAACCCACTCACTGTAGAAGAGAAATCAGCACCACGGATGGCACATTAGGAGGTCCCACTACCCCCTCCAGCAGGGAAACTGCCCAATGATCTTGGTGTCACCAGCCTTTGCTGGCCCAGGGCTATTTGGGCAACCACAGGTGGGGTGGACTTGCGGGTCACTGCTGCTTTCTTGCTACCTGTGAGCTCTCTTGAAATGCTTCCTATTGGTTTCTGTCCCTTGGAAAGTTTTTACAATCAAGCTTAATGGTAAAGAGCCAGTGAATAGCAGTTTGTGGACTCTCGTTTTCTTTAGTATTCTAAAAGGATCCTGTGGTTCTAATAGTATTTATATTATTGCCAGATGTGGTGTTGTTTTTGCTAGTGACAAGCGGTAAAAGCTTTACGTGCTCGTAAATTTTTCTAAGTGGTTTTGAGTAAACAAGTCTGGATGGTTTAGTTAACTCAGCAAAAGAAGGTGGGTGGCGCTACCTAAATGCCATGGAGCTGGGTAATTCTGGCATTCACTCATAGAGTCCCCATAAGTCAGAGGCAACTTAGGCAAGCAATCCCTAAGGTGTTCAATTAGCGCCCCCCAAGGGGTTTAATTAGCTTCTGAGCTGTGCTAACCTACCAGGGTATCTCACCTTTTCTTCTGCGATTTTTCCTAAAGGCTACGGTCTGCCGGATGACATTGTGATAGAAAAACGAGGGAAAGCTGACGCCTTTATCGAGTGTACGGGAGCAGACGTCAAAATCTCCAGCCTGAAGCTGATTCAGCACGAGGCAGTGGAGGGCATTTTGAGTAAGTCCTTGAGCTTGGCATCAGCCTTGCAGAATCAAATGATCACAGATGCATATTTCTCATTTAGTTTATGTATGGAGGGTGCCAAAAATGTATACACATTTTAAGAAAGGAAAAAAACTTTATTAAAATTGTAATGCTCAATATATACGGATCACAAAAGAGGAATCATGTTTGACTTCTGCAATGACAAGGTGCTCAAAGTGGTTACCTTCAGCACCCAGTCACTTCTGATTACGGTGAACTGCTGCTTGTGTATACATTCTTTTGGCACCCCGGGATGGGTTGCTGCGCTGAAATCTCACCTTTTATTATCCCCACCAAGGGAGAACCCAAAGGGGCATTTATAGTACTCCTCCTTCCCATTTTGTCCACAAAAAACCCTGTGAAGTGGGACACTTGGGGCTTCGGGGACAAGTGGCAGCTACATCCTGGCTTCCGTAACAGGGAACCTGCGATTCCATTGTTCCAAGAGCTTCAGCAGCTTCTGGTCTGTTCCTGGGGACAACTGGAAGGGCTGCTTGCGAGCCCTAAAGTCCTGTGTGGCTTGGGAAGAGGCTCCATGGAAGACCTCCTGTAGGAACAGGCCTGCTTCTTCCGATCTTTGGGAGAGGTCCTTTCAGTGCTGCTGCCTTCAGAGGCATGTTGGGTGAGGGAGCGAGGGGGTCTTCAGGCTGGCCATTCCCGGGCTCTGGATTTCGCCGCGGTCTTCCTGCCGCAGGCAAAGACCATTTCTATTCAAGCGGGCCGTTGGGCGTGAACCGGTCCTTGGATCACTGCCGCTTCTGTTCTGCTATGGATTCCGTCCCATGATTGTGTTCCCAATCATGTTTGGATGCACTTGTTTCAGTGTGGCATCCGGCTGTTTTCATATATCTATGATTTCAGCTGCCTTTTCAAGTGCCCTTTCTTGGGGTAGAAATGCAGCGTACAGAAATCCACTTGCCCTGGGTTAGTCCACTGGGGGGCTGATGGGCCATGTCCTTGGGCTTCCTGGCTGGGACGGCAAAGCCAGAGCGGTGTGGTGCAGAACGGCAGAAGGCCTCTTAGGTGGCCAGGTGTGGTCCGTCAGCCACATCTGGATTGGTGGGTCATTGATAACAGCCTCTTTTCCTGTCTGCCTCGTTGCGTTCCTTGTCCTCCTGCTGAGCAGATGTGGCGTTTGCCATGCTGGTTTGGTTATTAGACCTCCTCCTCCTCCTCCTCCTCCTCCTCCTCCTCCTCCTCCTCCTCATAAATTTTATCAGAAACAAAACAGCTATAATGAACAGAGCAAGCTAAAATAGACAAAGTTGCCAAGGGAAAGCAATCAGTACGGATTCAACCTATACAATTAGTCCCCAAAATATTCCTGTCTTCCAACATTCCTTAAAAATGTAAGGCAAAAGAAATCATTAATCTATATGAATGTGTCTTTTCTTCCACAGCTCTACACCCCTTTGCTTTATCAAAAAGTTAGGTGTTAATACTTTCCTTGCTCTTTTCTCATGTTCTCTTTTTCTTTCTCTGTCTTTTGTCTCCTCTCCTCTCTCTCTCTCTCTCTCCCCCCATGAAACACATTTTGAAATTGCCTCTGTATCCTTCTGGGAACCAGGGCAGAATATGATAAGTCAGATTCAACAAGTCATACTAAATCCAGTGCACAGTAATGGCAACCAAAACTGTTCTTCAGCCTTGGGAAGCAACTAAGATCCCACTTACAATGCACAACGAGATTCAAGAATTATAGAGCTCTACTGTCCATTTCATACCAAATTACTAAAAGAAAATCCAATTAATACAGGGATATTTTCTTGAATTATAGAGTAATATGATTGATTGCAAACCAGTGCAGCTGAGGAAAAAAAATGCTATACACAATACAGGTCTTTTAATTGGACTGGTTTTATTTTTCTTATGTTTTTCTATAGCTATTTATGTGCCCAAGTTCTGCTTAATATTGTTACTTATATACATGAAATTGTTTTTCTTTAAATATGGGATAGTATGGAGACGGTACAGGGAGAACAGGGGCAGGAGAAGGGGGGAAAGCTTTCCTGTACATACTGAGCTGGAAAATGAAAAACTTTTACTAAACTGTTACTAAAATACCAATGACAGAACCATTTCAAGCAGCAAGAAAGATGGACAAACACTTAAATGCTTGGGTCAAATATAAATATGTTGCCTTTGTTTGAAAAAATGGGGAAGTTGGTTTATTGGAAGGGTATTCTGCAAGTATGGGGCGGCCATGGAGAAGGCTTTCCCCCAGGTCTCAGTGGTTCAAATGGCTGGGCCTTCTCTCCCTATAAAAGAACCTTCAAAGGTTTTGGTTTCAGATTCTGATTCTGATGCAAGGCAGAATTGACAGCTAAAATGCCAATAATAAGCCACCGCAGTTGCTGAGAATCAGACAGATTCAAATTCTGTGGCAAAGTTGAGTAAGCAAACTGAGGAGGATGTCAGATGGGCCTAACTTGATTAAGCTGAGTTGAGGCATCAGAGTAATGGGTCTGACCATTTTGGGAGCGTTGGACTCCAAGTTAGTTGGCCTTGAATCTTCTTGGAAGGCATGGGTTCCTCTTTTCTATTTGGAAGGGAGAGAGGGTATGCAGTTTGAAATCAACCTCTTATTTATTTATTTATTAACTAACAATTTTTATACCCTGTCCTTTACAAGACATCCCAGGATGGTTTATAACAATAAATAAATCACACAATAAATAAGTACAACAAAATACAACATAACATAACAAGCAAAACAGCATAACTGAGCATAACAATGTTAAAACCTAGTTAAAATAATTAAATATTTAAATATTAGGCAAATAAAAAGGTTTTTGCCTGGTGCCGAAAAATACAATGTCTTTTTCATTCAGCTACATTCCCCTAATATCTAGTATTCTAACTAGGCTCGTTTTTCTTGTTACTCACTTCTGCAGAGCTCTTCTTTTGTACTACAGAGGCAGCTTTGCTGCTCAGCTTTAACATAATAAACATAATAAAGCCTTTAAAGCCTTTTAATTTGAAAGATTTCATCCTGGTCTGTTTGGCAAGTAGTGGGGAAGAATTGGCCAGGGCAGTAGCTTTACATTCTGGACTTAAAACTGGGTTTAGTGTTTGTGTTTAGATGGCAGTGCACATGGCTTCACTTCAGAATGTGGTATGTTGCCCTGCTACACTTAAGGGCACACCGTGTTGCGTTGCGTTGGGGCCCTGGACTACTCCTTCCTCTGGTTGTCCGGTAACCTTTCCCCAGACGAGAGTCCTTGGAGAGGAACGAAGAGCGATGTCCTGCGGAAGGAAGCCTTTGTTTCTGGAGATTTCCTAGCCTGCAGAACCCTGCTGGGATATTGCAGGCAAGGCGAGACAAATGACAAAGGCAATTTTCACCTCTCTGGCCTCCTTGTTATCTCTTGCCTCTGAGCCCATCTAGACAAATTGTGGAGCCCGGGCTGGAAATACTTCGGATTCTGTCCCCCTCCCGAGCCGGAGATGTTTCCAAGGTCATGCCAGCAAACTCAGAAAGCAGTCAGCACGGATCTTGCCATGATAGCTGCAAAGGGTGAGAGAGGATCATTGGAATTCAGGGTGAGGATAATCAGAATTCAGGCTCTCAAAGCCAAAGCAGTGCCTTGGACTATTGGGGAGGCCCTCTGAAAATCCTGCAGTCTTTGGGGTGCTCTCCAAGAGTTCACAGGGGCTCTCTTCCTTAGTGATATCACTAGCTTAGTTATCCCTGTTCCTCTCTATTTTGCTTATACGCAATATTGATATTCCGTACCTTGACGGAACTGCTCAGCATGCCCACTTGCCCTAGCACCGGGTATCAGGAGATTTCTCTTTTTAAATGTTTGTTGCGGAATGGAAAGCTTCCGCCTGTCCTCCTTCCCTCCCTCCCTCCTTCCCACCTTTGAATTTGACAGTAATCTTGTTGACTGTGTCCTTCTGCCTTTTGGAGTAGGTGATAATTAACACTTCATCATCGTGAGGTAGATTTGAATAACAAATGTTACATGGACTATCAGGACTATTTCAGCACCTTTTTTTTTAAATGTGAAAATATATTCGCACACCAAAGGAAAGGGGGTCTTGGACCACTTTTTGGTGAGAAGTTCCTAATTGCATCTCCCTAAAATAGTCTTAAAGGGTAACTTTCTTTACGGATGTTGTCCTTGTTCTGAATGTGTAACGGACAACTTGAGGCTTAGAGGCTGGGCCAGTTTAATCCAGGCTAAACACCCAGGGCTTTTAAACCCTGGGTTGATGTGAACGAGTAAGAATACTTGTGTGTGTTGGCCAACCCAGACATGTCCCCTGGCTAATCTGTCGTGATGTCTGAACTCTGTCTTATTTCTCCCCCAACAAGCCAGAGAAATCTCACATGGCTTATGGGTGGGTTGTTCTTCTGGCTTGTTCAGGCAGAAAGAAGCCAGAGCTTCTCAAAGAAGCATCACTGGGTTTTTAGTGCATTAGTTGGAGTGGTATTTGCGTCTGAAACTCTTGTTTCTGTACTTTCTGTGCTGCCCATAAGCCCCGAATGGCTCTCAGGGCGGCTATAGACTTGTTTTAAGGCACATTCGGCAATTTGAGGGACTGGGTTCCACTGCAGAATGGCTGCCCTGTGAGGCACAGCAAATAACAAGCAATCTGTCCATGCCTCGGCATAGCCTGAAGTGCCTGATCCTGCCTCATCTTGGAAGCCAAGCAGGGTCGGGCCTGGTTGCCATCTGGATGGGGGACTTAATGTTGTAAACTGCCCAGAGAGCTTCGGCAAGGGGCGGTATAGAAATGTAATGAAGAATAATATTCGTAATCTATCCAAAAATTCAGTACAAGGGAGACATGGGGTCTGAGCTCCTGTCCATGAAGGAGGTTCTTTGAGACGACAGATTTTCGCTCCTGGTGAACCACTTTTGCCGCCATTCCAGCTGCCAGTGATACATTGCATTATTGTTCTTAAAAAGTAGAAGGGTTGGGCATCCAGAAAGGTGTCCCAGGGTGCATTGATGCTTGTTAGCACCATGTACACTTCCCCAGTCTATGCCATTGTTTGTTCGGGTATTTGCAAGCATTCTACTCTTCTTCTCACTAGGGTGCTTCTCCAAGAGGGAAGCAACAATTAAAACCACAAAATGAGACCCAAAAAACCACACACCAAGGAAACATTAAGTGGAAAACAACAGCTAATAAATCAAAGGTACATTAATGTGCAACCGTCGCGCCTTCCAGAGTAACAATAGATCTTAAAAATGGGCTTAAATTAACCGCGAAAATGTTCCTCTTAAAAACAAATCTATAGCCAAAACGAATTTCATAAGAAAATACTGCAGCAGCTGAAGTGTAATTAATGCATACCCTCAAATTGGTGCAATTCCCCAAAGGGAGGATATTGGTTTATACAGGGCTGTTCTGCAACAAAATGTTGCAGCATGGAATGCTTCTCGTCCGTGTTTGAGCCATGTCCTTGTCCCCTTTGGGATGCTCCATTTCATTTCCCCTTCTCTCCCCCTATCGCACAATGCATTCTGCCCTTACTGCGTGGTTTGAGGGGTTACTAGGCTTTTAAATTCTACTTTTTGGGGGACTTCTGTGAAGACTGGTATTCCTTATGCCTGCTGCTATCTGGTCGCTCCTCTGGAGCAGGGCAGAATCTAAGGCTGGGGGCCAAACTGGGCCAAACTGCATCCCTCCTGATGATGGATCTGATGGGACCATCTCTTGTCTCCAACTGATCCTGAAAGATCCTGTCTTTCCTTTTTGGGGAATGACTTCAGTCTGCCCTGACAGACTTAAACTCGGCAAACAAGGATTTCAAGGTTTCTTCCTCCTCAAAGGAGGCAGACAGGGAGGAATTAAGTCACTTAAGTACTTAAATTACTTTCATTCCATTGATTACATTTCTGTATTGCCCAGTGGCCAAAGCTCTTCAGGTACTGTGGCAGATTCATCCTTGCCTAGGAACATCACATGGGAGTTTAAAAATTTAGGGTTATGAGATAATCAGAACAACTCTACACGCTTCCGGGCACCGGAGGGCAACAGAGAGTGTCTCTCATCCCCTTGCTATCCCGTAACTTGGATCAGCTTCCTTTCCCTGTCTTCCCCTTCTTCTCTCCTTCCTTCTCTCCAGCTGAGAAGAAAGTGAGTCCTTCCTCCACGAGAAGAGCAAATAACCGCATCTCATGTCAAGCCATGTTAGTCTTTCTCCAGCAATGTGTAAGAAGGACATCTTTTAATCCAAACTGCCTCTAATCAGCAATCCTTTGCCTCTAAAAAGTTAACTGCACTAAACTCTCCCAGTGATAAACCTGTCATTCGGTGACTTCCCAGCTTTGTCCAGCTCCCCCTCCCGCCGCCAATTCTTAAAGGTTGTAATGCATCTCCTGAGGCTTAGTTGTTGGCACTAAAAGCTTTAAAATAAAATATTCATGCGAGTTTTCTTTTCTTTTGGATTTTGACCCTGTTCCTCTCAGCCACTGGATTAGGACCTTCAAAATATCAAATTTGGCTCACAAGCTGAAAGATGCTTAACATACCTTTTCCACCAGCTGATTACAGTTAATTGTGTACTACTGAGATCCTGAGAATTAGGAGAAATCCCCGAGTCTTCTCCAAAAGCAGAGGGCCTGTTGCTACAAGTTTGCATTGATTGCTTGTTGACTCTAATTTGTGCTTGTTTATGAATGTTTGTATCACCAAAGAGAGAAATTTAATAACACAGTATGGTAACACTGTATAATGAAATGGTGCCTCTTTTTGACTGAACTGACTCATATTGGAGGGAGCAAAGCTCAAGGAACCAAGATTCAATTTGGATGTCAGGAAGCACTTCCTGACAGTCAGGACCCCGAGGGTGTGGAATGGGCTTCCCCGGGAGGAGGTTGAGGCCGCATTGGTGTGGGTGTTCAAGGAGAGGCTGGACGTGCCCATGGTGGGCATGTTGTGAGTAGAGCCGGGGGTCAGACTAGATGGCCTGGGAGACCCCTTCTGACTCACTCCGTTTCTAGGTTTCAAATTGACCCATGAGTGACTAAAAATACCGGAGCTGAAACATGTACCTCAAACACTGTAGAATTCCTTCTTTGTTTTACTGTGCTTTCCTGGGTTATCATGGCTAGAACCTGACTGCGTGTAAACTGATTCGGAGTGTGACGTTCTTTTTCAGGTGTTCACCAAGGGAAGACTGTACTGGAGAACTGTGTGCTGCAGTGCGAGACGGCAGGAGTTGCCGTCCGGACCTCTGCTGAGTTTTTAATGAAAAACTCTGACTTGTATGGCGCTAAGGTAAAAATGGAAATCAGCTTGCAGGCTGCCCTTTACAACGTAATTCTTTGAAAGTTTGCAGAGGGAAGTTCCCCTGAACTGAATGGGGCTCAGCAGGTGGGCAGCCTTAGGTTTGGACTCGAGAGTGTTAGTCCTCACTGAGCCTGGAAGCTTACTGGGTGACCCTGCTCTCAGCCTAACCTACCCTGCAGGGTTGTTGTACGGATAAAATGGAGAGGAAGGTTGCGTATGCTGCCTTGGATTCCTTGCTGGGAAAACGGGAGGGATATGAATAGAATTTTAACAGATGCAAATGCTTCTGAAGTTCCTCTTGAATTATTGAAAATCTTGCCACACACGCGTTCGAGATGTACACCTTATCATTACGTGTGGGTCAGACCTTGGCATCCATTGTAGGAACGGCATCGTGCCAGGGTTCCGAAGCGGTCCCCCATCCAGTCAGGGACCAGAGCTGGGCCCGCTTGGCTTCCTCAAGTAAGCTGCATCTCATGCCTTTAGGCCAAGGACAAGTGAGTAGGGACCCCTGGATGCTGGAACATAGGAAGGTGCTAATACTGGATCAGAGCAAGGATCCATGTAGGCCAGTTTTGTGGATGCTGATGGCTAGTGTCTCACAAAGAGTCCAAGGCAAGATTCCGCCTCAGTCCGTCTAGCAAAGCCGAGGGTCAACACACAGGCTGTTCCATGGAGCCCTGGCCCTATGGACGGCAGCCCGGATGATGTGAGGGCTGATGGTGGTTGTAGTCCAGCAGCATGCGGAAGGCCACACAGTCCCCAGCTCTCCTGCAGAGGGTGTCCTGGGAGCCGAGCGTGTGCCTCCAGGTCTGTCTTTTCCATGCCTTTGGTCCTCAGCATCTCTTTCTAGACCTGCTTATGCACCGTTTCTGCCTCTGAATTTCAGGGCGCTGGCGTAGAAATCTATCCAGGGAGCACCTGCGCCTTGATAGGGAACGGCATTCACCATTGCAAAGAGGGCGTCCTCATCAAGGTGAGTCCTCGCTCGGGCGTGGAGGGGGCGGGCGTGCCCGCTGGACTGCGGGGCTTGCTCGAGGCGCACAAGGAAGTGCCTCGGTATTTGTGGGGCTCCAGTCCTGCCCTCTCGGGCCAGGCCAAGGGGGACGTCAGGGCCATCCAGTTGTGGCCAAGCAGAGCTTTGTCCTTTGCTTCTTTACAAGGGCTGGCTGCAGGGGAGAATGGGATAGGCCATTGCGTCAGCATGGCCATGGGGCAAGTTACTGGGTCTCAGCCTCCGATTCCCATCTACACACTGGGAACCAGCGGGATTTATTTTGCCAGAGGGACTGTTGGATCGGGCGAGCCTAGCACACTCATTTCTCTGTGCTGTCAGGACTTTTTAGATGAGCATTACGACGTCCCCAAGATCACCCTGGTGAACAATGTCATACATAACAACGAAGGCTATGGGGTGGTCTTGGTGAAGCCAGCCGTCTCCTCGGAGGCCAAAGAGAGCACGCCAGAAAGCATGGAAGGTAAGGTGCAGCTGTGGCTCCGTGCTGCAGCATGAGCTCTGCCTGCTGAGGGTCCCAGGTCCATCTCCAGGCAGAGCTGGAAAAATCCCGCCTTGAAATGCTGGAGCGCTACTGCCTGCCAGTGTCAACCCTATTGGGTTAGATAGACCAATGGTCCATCGTATAATAGTTCCATGGTAGAAGGCACATCCTTTCTAAGACTGAGGCTGTGGCAGTCCAGCAAGTTCATGGAGGAGAGGACCACCCATGGCTATAAGCCTGGATGGCTGCGTACGACGACTCCTCGTATCGGAGGAGTTAGGCCCGTGTGCACCAGTTGCTGGGGAGCTTAGGCGTACAGGTGCTGCTGTAATCATGCCCGGCTTCCTGGTTTCCCATGCACAGCCAGCTGGCCACCATGGGAATGCGATGCTGGACTGGATGTACCTTTGGTCTGATCCAGCACAGCTCTTAATGCTCTAAATGCTTCCACTAAGCCCTGCAACTGTGCACAACAGTGAGGGTCTTTTCAAAAATCTCCAGCTAGAAATGTTTGCAGGAAGACCGGGGCACATCCCGTTTCGCTGTCTGTGTGTCTTGCATTAGCTCTGCTGACGAAGTGAGGATGGTGGTGATGTCGCCCACCTCGGGATGGGCGGACATGGGGAAATCATTCTGTCTTTGTTTCATCGATTGGCAGGTGTCTTTTGTTCAGTCTTAGGCTCACTGGCCGAAATGCATTTTGTGTGAATGCTTAGTGCAAATTTGAACTTCTGGAAAAAGTGTAAATCCCCCCAAACTGCACCAATCCTCTATGTATTTTCTTACTTTTGCATATGAGGGAAATGCACATTTCTCTTGCAGGCTTTTGTCTTCTATGTAATGAAATTATGGAACTTTAAAAAATGCAGCTTCATGGAAAAGCTGGTCCACTGTGGAATTTGTGGATCTGATTCCTGAAATTCAAACTCATTTAGCCTGTTGTGGATTTCCTTGACACGCCTAGGCTCATCTCAGTGGAACATGGGTGCCGAAGTTTATGGGCATCGTAGAAATTCTGGTAGGTGGGTTTTATTGCATCCTGCTTGCTCGCTTCCACAGGCATCTGTCTGGTTTCTGTGCAAACAGAATGCAAACAAAACACATCTTTTGTCGGATCCAGTATGGTTGCTCTTATATTCTTATTTTCCCCTTACTAGGAGCAGGTCTTTTGTAAAACTTTTGGGTCTTAACTTCCCATTCAAACCAAGTCACCCCAACATATTTGACGTCACAACAGGGAACAATCTATTATGGTTTGGAAAGTTAATTTCCTCCCACCTACTGTGTGAATTACAGCTAAGCTCCAAGGGAATGGGAAATTCCGAGGAGGGTGGCACATTTTGTCAGCGTCCCTGCTAATCAGAAATCGCAGGGCAGCATCCCCGTGAATCCTGGCGCCACTACATCACAGAGGGATGGAAGCGTTGATGGAGGGGCAGCTTGTTAAACAGGGTGAACTAAATCGATCGTGTGAGTGGGCGTATGTGGATCTATTAAATAGCCTTGTTTCTGATTCAGAGCAAAAAACGGTCATGCAATCCCCAGAGGCTGCTGCCAACCCCGGGACGGAAGACCAGCCTAGTGATGAATTTGGCCTCTGCGGAAGGGTTGATGTCGTGGGGCACGCGGAAGGCAACTCTGAAATCGCCCACGAACTTTCGGCCGCCTCGCTGAAGAAGAGCCAGCTGCACAAGAAAAGGCTGAGTCACCTGAGAATCACGGAGGCTGACGATGACCTGATGACTCAAGAAATGTTTGTGTCCATTGCGGGCAACCAGTTCAAGCGAAATGGGAAAGGGAGCTTTGGCACGTTCCTTTACTGACTTTCTGGAACGACACGGAAGTCGTAGAGCCATTGCGGCTGCAGGCTGGCGTTGTTCTGAAGCAGCCGACATGTTCTTGGCACCTGTCCTTTTAACTGGGCTGCATTTCTTGCTTCAGTGTGAACCTGGCGTATTTATTCTTTTTAGCAGCTTGCTCATTGCACAAATGAAATCTGTATTCTTTGGAGTGAGTGTTGAGCCTGGAACTTGAGAGCAAAAATCTCTCTGGTGGAATCTTTTGAACAGAAAGCTCCCCCCGCCCTACCCACTTGCTATGCATGTCACTTTTTATAATATTATTTATCTCTAATATAAAATACCCCTTTAAAAATAAAAATGAAATAAAAGGGGTTGTAGAAGGATACAAGCAACAATACTATAAAACCCTTAACCTTTTGACCAGAAGTAAAATGAATGTTTTCTATGTAGTATTTGCATACCAATTTCAGCTGTATTAAATAAAAACATTTTTATATTTAGCAAACTGTAGTCTTGTGGGTTGGATTTTTGGGGGTGGGTTGGAAATGTGATTGGTCCTTGAAAAATATTATTCACTGTTAAGAGCGTTGCTTCAATTTACGGATTGCATTAGTGGTGCTTTGATTTGTGAAGAGTGTTAGGAAAGTGTGTGATTTTATGTTCTAGTGTAGAAAGCACTTGTTCTTGAGATGGTCTCAGGTAACTTGAAATGTACTTTGGTGGAATTTGAAATGGGTGGGCAGAATCTTTCTCTCTGACTTTGGGAGAGGGAGAGGGATGGATTCCGGAGCCCTTGCCCGAGGCAGACATTTTGGGAGCCCCAAATTTGCAACCTTTCCATATTCCTGAACAGAGATTTCTCAGTGTACAGGAAGTGCACAGCTCTGTCAAGGACTCTGGAGTGACATTTGCTGGTCTCCAGGCTTTCACACCATCAATTGCATTTAAGAGGTTGAAATGCCTTTCCTAAAGTTTAGTTACCAGCAGTAAGAGATTGAAGCTAAAATATTTGTCATGGCATTGCATTTAAATCCTGTCTTTTTTCCTTCCTCTGAGAAACTAGGCTTACCTAGCTCTCCATTTTTATCTTCCCAACAAACCCAGGAAGGTCCAAGATTGGCCTTTGTTTGGGAAGCCATTCCTGGTTTGGTCCCATTTCCCCCTTCTCTGGAAATGAGAGGTTATTGCTGACTTCCTTACAGGGCTGTTGTTGTTGAGATTGCATTGGAAGTGCTAGATAAAGCACTGTCCCTCCTGAAAGTATTTTTCATTGCATGAGTGCTAACAGGACTGTAGCCCAAATGGTGGCCGAGGTTTGCCAAAGCGCAGGCAGGGAGGCCGAAATACTCCTCAGGCAGTCTCGGGAGGACCGATCGATTGTTTATATTTCTACCCCACCTTTTTTCCTTCCAAGGAACTTAAGGCAGCTGACCCACTTCTGTCTTATCCCCACCACCACAACAGCCCTGTGGGGTAGGCTGGGCTGAGAGTCTGTGACTGGCCCAGAGCCACCCATGGCTGAGCAGGGACTCGAACCCGGACCTGCCAAGTCCCAGTCCCTCACTTTTACCCATTTACATCACACTGGTTCTACCTGAGTGGAACATAATGTGTTAATTGGAGAATACAGTCCTGTGTGGAGGGAATGGAACCCCTACGGTGAGGACAGGGCACATGGCAACATCTTATAATGGATCCCATTTCTCTTCTTACATTCATGTTTTATCAGTGGCAAAATCAGCATCCATAAAACCGGTACTATGGCTTCCCAAACGTGCTAAAATCCTTTTAACAGCTTGCTGCGAGATTGTGGTCTGTGCTTTTTTAACTGCTAGAAATAGAAATACGCCTGTCAAAAAATCCCTGGATATATAGGTGGGTAGAGAACTGTTCTGTTGTGTTTGTCTGATGGTATTGTGTCCTATTGTGTTGGTGGAGTCTGGAATTTATTTCTGCCTTTGACTGAGCTGCCCACCACTACTCCCAAAGCCCCTTTCTAGCTCAGTCACTGCTAGTTATATATAAAATATAATGCATATTATTATAACAACAACAACATACCTATTGCTCTTTTAAGCTGCACTGACCCCACTTTCTCCTACTGCAAGTCCATCATACTCAAAAAATGCAGATATTTGTTTCCCTTGGTTTAAAAGCAATTGTATGTTCCTGGGGAGAGATGTTTGGCGGAGGTGTTGAACCTCATTCAGCCCTGGGGCCCATTCAGTTTTGGAGAAGCTCTTGGGGGCCTTCCCTCCGTGGTGGAAAGGGGCAAAGGGAGACCAGCCAAAATTTCAGAACCATCTGCGGATTTTAACTTCAGCCTCCTACTGCTAGTAACTCAACTTTAGGAGAGGAATTTCAACCATCTAAAATGGGTCAGCAAAATGTGCAAAAATGCCCGGAAACTACCAAACTCTCCCTTGTCAGGATTTGAGGCAGCTTTGGGGCTCCTTCTGGCCAAAGGCCGGAAGAACAGTCCTGGTAGTTGCAGGATTGGACCACTGCCTGCTGGAGCTATTGGGGCTCTAACGAGCATCACCTGGGAGCACTGAGAGAAGAGCTGTGTAAGAACCAGCTCTTCCTTTTAGAAGCTGCCTCAGCGGCGAAGGTCTCCTGCGTTCTTGTGGTGCTTTCTGTTGCTATTTGAATCCTTGGACGCAAGCCCTGTGCTTTGGACTTCCGCTGGCTTCTGCTCCCGGACCCTGCTGAGAACTCTCTGCCCTGCACCTGCACCTGCTCCTGGACCTGGCGCCCATGCCTGCTCCTGCTGCAAGGTACCCCCTTCCTCTGTGTACTTTCTGGCTCGTGATTCCTGGTTTGTGCTTGCCCACTATTGGCTTGGCATTCGGATTGGACTTCGGTTGATCTGTTGGCGTAAGGTGTCTGCATCTTGGTGCTCCTAAGTGTAACCTGCTGCCACGCCTTGGTCTCTGGCAGCCCTCAACCGATCGGTATTCTCTCTGTACATCGCGAAACTTCTGTTCAGGAAGAGTGAAGTTTGCAGATACGGGGGTTCCAAAATTGTGGTTGTGGGAAAAGCGGCATGGGCATCTCAGGTGGGTTAGATGTGCAGACTGGGCCCCCGGGAATCCCCTCTCCACCTGTGGCCGGAGGCTTGCTCAGTGCAACAGCAGCATGTCTGTCTAGTATTTGTGGACAGTAGAAGCCAGAATGGGGGGTTCTGGGGGAATGTTGGAGGAAGATGTGGACCTGTGGGAGCCTAAACACCCTCAAAATGCCATGCAATTCAAAGCAGAAGGCAAATTGCAAGCAGCTTTGCTTCCTTGCTGCTTTAATTCTGGGGAACTCTAATTGCTCTGCCCCTCCCCCCTTCTGCCCTCTACATTGGATTGCTCTGCCCATCTTTTAGACAAATGTTGCTCCCAAGTTTGGGGTGAACTTGAATGTGTTTTAAGTGCTGGGTTCTCAAAGCTGAGCACAAAGAGGCAGAGTTGCCTGACCTGTAATGCTGATGAACGTTCTGATGCCGTGGGAATCAATAATTGCATTTTCCTTATATACCAGCATCTTTTCTTTGTCTCTCTCCTGCTCCCTTTTTAAAAGAACTCTTGATTTGGATGTGCGGCTGACTTTTGATGTGTCAGCCAAAGACTTTGGGGAGGAGGAAGAGCAAACTTCAGTGCCTTGCAGATCAATAGTTCTTAACGTGGGCTGCTTCGAAAAGGAGCCGCTGATCTGAAGCTACTTGGAAGGTGTGGACCGCCTGTCTTGCTAGTGCTGCCATTTTAAGGGCCAGTGCTATGTGTCTTGATTTCCTGCATCTCTCTGAACGTGGGTTCCTCTAAAGGCTTAATGAACATGTGTGTTTATTTGGCTATAAAGTGAAGGTGGAGTGGAATAGCTTTGCTTTCATACAAAAGGGATGCATAGGGGAAGGCCTTACTTGATTGCTTTAAGCAGTTTCCCCTTGGGCCAGCAGTTAAGTCGATTAAATAAAATGGTGCTCCTGGAAACTTTCTGGCCACATTCAGTGGGATGCCAGGAGCCCTTGGTGAATTTAGAAGCAGCCTTGCGTCCCAGCTCCCGGCAGGTGCCTCCTTCTGCCTTAAGGGCTAATTCTGGCTCCTGTTTGGATATTTTGGATACTGGATATACGATCCCTAGACTTGTACCAATTGATCAGGACAAAATGGCTTGATGTGTATTGACCTGGAACTAGCAACACATACCCCTGTGCTGGAAATTTTACTGGATTGATTTTTTAAAAAACTTCTAATGTATGTTTCTGTAGTGCATGCCAATTTGCCCAAGAGACCAAGTCACTTCCCAAATGTTTATAGTTTATAATTCCACCTAGGAAAAGACAACGGAGGAAGGGGAACTCTGGGGTGGTGGAGGAATTGGGTGCCTATACAAGGACGAGTTTTGTTAACAAAGCAGCACTCACAGCTCACAGAAAGCATCCGCTTTTGTGGGGGTGGTAGAGGGAACAAATTAGTTGTTATAGGCTGAACTATAATCCATCTTTCTTCTCTGACAGCGGTGAGGCCTGTCCCTTTCTTTCCTCCCCGATACATTTACTCTTCCCCGAAGATTCCTTGCCAACGCAGGCTCATATAACTAAGCGTTGATATTTAGATGTCTCCATCACGGTCAATAAAGCAGAATGTAAAATACTTTCTCTGTGCAAGCAGCCCATGTGCCTCGGGGGCTCGCGGCTGCTCTTCTGTGCCAAATCAATAGCTCCAGAGCTGCTCTTCTAAAAACTTTGATAAATGATTAATAAGGCGAGTTAAGAGCGGTCGATGCTTAGATATATTGTCACCTTGCCATATACGCCTGTGTATTCAGCCTTTTGCAGAGAGAGACGGAAAGTTGAGAGAAATAAAGTGCGGGTTTGTTCCCTCCTTTTACAAAGGAGAATTAAAAAAAAATGTTCCTAAAATGAAACTCAGAAAATGCTGTTGCAGAAGCCAAAGAACAAGCTCAAGCTACTTTTCTTACAGTTTGCTTAGTCACTATGGACTAGTTCCTTGAGCTTTGCCAACCATAAAGCTGATGGTACCTGCTCTGTAAGGAACGAGGCTTCTTCTACTTCCTGACTTTTTTTTTCATTATTGTATAGCACCGTTACATCTTAAGCTGTTTCCCTCCAAGAGGGAGGGAACTCACAGCTTTCCTGAACTTTTGCTATGCTGTGTGAGGACGATGGGACAGGAAGATCCAAAAATCTGGAGGTCACCAGGATATGAAAGGCTCAGTTATATGTTTCTTGTGTACACTTTGGGGTGCGGGGGCAGGACTCGACTTGGAGATGGTGGGTAGACATGCTTGGAACTTCGGTCCTTCCTGTCTTGTTTTTCT